TAGTTGTTGCCAGTCTCATGGTGATGTTTGGATTCAGGTTCTGTATATTTAGCATACTGCTAAATTCAGATGTCTCTGTGAATTTCTACAATGTAGAAATTTCTTCATCGGCTGAAAGAACCTATTTGCTCTGCCCCTGTCCTTCCTCCCCACCTCTTCTTTATTTGGGAGAAGGCTTTACAGGCCAGATATGTCTGGACTAGAAAGATAAATCTACTGTGATATTAAAAACAGATAGCTCAGTAGATGTCTGTGCATCATGGGAATACATTTCACATTACTGATAAGTAAATTAAAACTGCATCTGCTCTGTAAATGTATTCTGTCTGTTGAATAGGCTTAAAGCTATTGTGTCACTGCATCAGCTTACAAGGTAAAGTTTAAATAGAAATACCTAAACACAGACTTCAGAGATACTGTCTCAGCCTGATCTCTGAAGGCACACAAGTAATTTGAAATGTTCTGATAGAAGGAGTTGTGTAGGTGGCACATGTCATTAGTGTACGTGGTGTAAAATTAAACCCATAAGGATTTAATAGACTCAGTAAAGGAGTTTAGTTATTGTTTTAAGTGACCATTTTCTTGTCCTAGAATTCTGTCTGAGAGAAAACACATTTTTCCAGTATGAGTTAAAATTGATATTTGAGTGTTTTCCAGTTCTTTTAAGTTTTCTGTGTTCCAGCAACATTTCAGCAATTCAACTGCTTGCCAGGTGATAAGGTCTGTTTTCATATGCAGACCCTTTTAAAGGCTTTTCTCTCCCCGAAAGTGGCTCGGGTAGTGCTCAAGGGAGCCTGGGCAATGTGAAAAGCCTGGCCTTGCTATTCTGACAACCGAGCCACAGCCTACAACATAATTTTGTTTACCAGTGTCTTCATTTAATGCTTTTCTTTGAAATGATCACCACCATTGTGCTATTGTCTCCAGTACAACTGAAATACTGATAACTGTAGCAGATTTTTGTTTCAGTACCACGTAGTCCTCCTTAGCACCTTCGTCATGACTAAAAACACTAGCAGACAGACTGTATTTAAAAACGTCTCCACAGTCTGCCAAAATCTCCTGAGCAGAAAAGTAGAAACTGCTCAAGACCTTTAGCAGTATATTTGTATAGCAATTGAAGTCTCAATCACCTGTGAAAAGAGTTAAAGGAGCAACAGCAAAACCTTAGCCGTGTGTTCCATGATCAATATATGGTGTAGCTAAACGTGTTGATTCTTTATGCAAATTTCTGGCTTTTCTTTAGGTTAAAAGGAAACCCTGTGTGATGTCCTGTACAAGATCTGGGATATAACAAGGAGAATATTTCATAGATCAAGATCCTTCCTGAAGTACTCACTTCATTGAGACTGCAGTGAAGTCTGTCTGCAGTTGTAGGGCAGGACGAAAGGTGTTTGATGGAGACTGAGCCTATGTTCTTTAAAGCTTTATGGCTGCTGCTTTTCCGTGGTTTGCATGGAGGTGAATTCGTAATGTTTCTAGAGACCAGATCATTATGTGTATACTTACTTACACTTTGAATTAATTACATTGAAACACCTTACAGACCATAAATACCCAGAAATTAGTTGTGCATAGGGCATGCTCAAGTCCAGTATTGCTAGTGTATTCTGTAGCAAGTAAATTTGTTTGACGTAAAGACAAGGCAAAAGGATGGACAATAATTATGCCTTTTATTAGTAGTGGTAGTATGTTAACAGTAGTATCTCACGGCACTTTATATGTCAGTAAGAGAATCAGAGAAGACAGGTGAAGTGACTTCACTACTGTCATTCAGAAAGCAAGAAACTGAGAATAGCATTGAAAACACTGTTTCTTTGCTGTTATTGCTATATAGTCTTCCCTGTTTATTAACAGGAATTAATGCTCAGTCTTGTGCTATCTCCTCCTTGACTTTCACCAAGTTTCACTGCTTGAGTCTGTAAAAGATACAAACCTCAAAGCAAAGGTGTGAAAGGGAGAAAATTCTAGAGTGAATTGGTGTGGGCAGCCAGCAAAACAAGTAGATCATTGCTGTGGCACACCCTGGAAGTATTCCCTGTTGAGCATCCTGGCCTTTGAAGTGGTTCAGAGTTGTGGGCCCTGTGGGGAATAGGCAGAGCTTGTACATCATTTACTGTGTACTTCTCACGAGCCTAAAGGAAAAAACAGAGCGTGTTACAGACTTCTGAGTCTTCTATTGAAGTCTTTGTTTCATTAAATTTTTATTAGGAACTTTCAGATTGATTGATTCCTAGGATGAACCATTAATTCGTAGCTAATAACTGTGGAGCTCAAGTTTCACAGCTAATCTGCATTTTATTATTTGTGTGGTATACAGAAACTTTTCAGTGTAACAATTTCTTTTACTGGTCCTGTTCAAAACTTTTGGGACCCTGCAGCTGGGTGCTATAGTGACTGCAACATATGGAAAGGGAATGCATCTTGCATTTAATGCTGAATACGTAGTGAAAAAATTGGGAAGTGATATAACGTCAAAAGGAGTGAATGCACATAGAGAGAGACTTGACTTTCCTGAGAGAACTGAGTTACAACAAAGCAAAGATGCATTGTCTTAAGTATTCGGGTTTTCCCCTGTAAGAGGCATTAGTTGAAACACTTGCATAAGTGAGGAAACTCCATACATTTTTGTGTAAGGCCGTTGCGTTAGAAAGCTTAAAGGCTTTTTACAAAGCCAAACAAAGGCAGATCTAATGTTAAATCAGTGACTGATAAAGAAGCGTTGCCTTTTCTTTGCTGATAGGATTTGCTATAGTTACATTTTTATTTAGTGAGGAAAATTTTATTGCTAAGTTACAGATGAAAAAGTGTGTGATCAGGGCTTGAACATTAATCCTTTCATAAGGGATGAATGATGATTTTTCATTTGATACGGCTCTTGACTCTTCTGCTTTGTGATGTTCTTCTAAGGCTTTGCACAGTAGCCATTTGTAATCCAAAAAGATCAAACTTGTCCATGTCTTCTCCTTTTTTTTCCAAGTACCACAGCTTATTCCATTTGATGTGCACAAAGACAGCATAGTTTCAGAGGCTATAGCTAAGGAGAGTGTGCTAATTCTTTTTTAATATGTCTCTTTAATAATAATTGCAGTTTAATTTTTTCCCTTCTGGAAATGCCAAAACCCCAAAATCACATTGTTCCAAACTATTTGTCGCTTTTTGATCCTTTCAAACCAGAAGACTAACTGCTTTCCTTTGTACCAGCAAAGGGAGGTGGGAAAAATACAGATTTTGTGTTCGTATTTTTTTGTAAGACCCAATTTCCAGTAAGCAATCAAACGGTCTATTTGTGTTGCTTTTCACTGTGCAATATAAGCTTTCTAAGTAATTTAGGTCAAGTTAGTTAACTACTTCTGTCCTGTGTAGTTGGTTGGTACATGAAACAAACTTGTTGCCTTTGAAAGGCTCATTTATGGTCTTAACAGTTGTGATTACACTTAAAATTGTGATTTCTTGGTATTGAAAAGGGAGCAAAAAAGTTTAGTAGAGCGGTTAGGAAGTTGACCGGGCAAAAGAAGCATTTTTGTTTTAATCGCTGCTTGCATGCTGTCTGCCCCTCAAATATTTAGCTGTGTAAATGCACGTTTGTAGTTCCTGATGTTCCACTTGATATGTGTTCTTCTCCATTGGAAAGAGGTATGTGAGAAAGAGACCAAAAAAGGAAGGAGAAACAAGGGCACTTCTTCTCCTATCTTGTGTGGGTTTTTTTCTTTAAAAGCTAAACATCAACAAAGATGTGGTCCAAAATAAAGTACAGGTAGTGTGGGATCAAGGAGGACCAAAAGACCTGTGGAAGAAGCCAAAGAAGTATCATGGACTTGACTGGGAGACAATGAGCAGTGAAGTACAAATGAGCATGAATTAAAACTTTGTCACAGAAAAGGTTCATGACATTTACACTGCTACAGGGTATCAACTCGGTCCATTCAGTACAGGATTTGACATCTACAAGCATGGTAGACATTGTCTTAATTGTTGAACTGAACTTTGGGCCAGATACTGAATCTTGTGTGTCAATGCTTGTTACTGGGGCATAAGACACAGGGAAATTATTCTACAGCAGTGCACAGAGCAGTTTTTAAATGCCAGTTCCTGGGTGCCATTGGTCACAGGGTGAGACTGGCCCCCCAGATGCAGGGTTAAGATGAAGCATGACTATTGCTGCGTTCCTTGAAGATTTATCTATGTCTCATTTTTTGGATAATTGTCATGAGAAGCTTTTATGAGCCTGGCTTTCTAAAGGTCCTAAGCACTGCTTATTGTCACAAAACAGTGTTATGTCTCAGAATCACGTAATCTAGTCATACAAATACATAAATAAAACAATACTCAGAACATTTCACTGACAAATAGGCATTGTAAATCTGTGTTAGAGCTTATTGTAACAGCAGGAGTTAGAAGAGCAAAAATCAAACAACAAAACTTACTCTAGAACTCAAGTCTTGTGTGCCGTGTTTCAGGCTTTAGTATATATTCATGGTTGATTATAGACACACTAAAAATAGGGGCATATAATGGAAATACTGGCAGATTCTGAACTATCATGATGGTAACAGGCATTGCTATAATTAGGCATGCATCTGAGTAGACAGTGTAATATGATTGCCGTGTTTATACCCTGTGCTGGAAGGAATGTCTGTTAATCTGCGCAATCCTTTTAAATGAGTTGGAGAGCAAGAGTTTGTGGAAAAAAGATGATGAGGTTTATTTCATATTCAGGCTGATGTGCGTGTATATGAAAAGACAACAAATACTTGCAGGATATTGGATAACTTTGGTTAATTGTGTAACATGTCCTTGTCTCAGGATTGAGAAGAAAACATCAGA